TCTATTGAATTATCACCGCATCATATGGCAAATTGTGTGATGCTGCTCTGCTTTGTCCAAAACAGAGTCCAGATCCCCTAGAAAATGAATAAGAGAGTAATTTGATGCACTTCCTATGCAAACTGTGTTATTCAATTATGAGAGGCAATATGCAGGTAAAAAGTAAAAACCAAGGAATGGTAAATTGATTTTCAATTATGTTAATAAAAAACGCAGTTTATTCATGACTGTCAAATTTTTGTACTAAATTGCTCTGGTTCCTTTTTGAAAATGAAATTTGATGTTAGTTAAAATATTGATTCTCCAACAGTTGTGTGTGTGTGTATATAAACATATATTTTGTGTAAATCTGATATGTCATAATAGATTTACACAAAAATTTTAGATTATTTATTTTTAGCTACCATGGTTATTTTATACTTTTGTGTAAAAATATATTTCTCAATAACAACCAACTAGTGTTATGCTTGAACCTCACATAAGTTTTACAAACCTAATTAATATAGGATTCATTAGGTAATGGAATGAGGAAAAGGGGAGAAAGGAAATATGTTGATATGTCTGTGTAAAAAAGTTGTGTAAAATATACAATAATTTTACATATTGGTGACGTGATAGTGTATGTTAACAGAATGTTAAAGATAAAAATAAAATTTACGTATCATACGTGACAGTATATATATTTTATACAAAAAAAAGCATTTTTACCTAGATGCTGTAAGCATTTAGCATGGTATAAAAACTTTACATTCTAGGATAATTAACGATGAATTCGAATGGGATGCTAATTCTATTCATTCGTTTTTTAAAAAATGAATAAGATAAGACGTATATCAGCTCACTAGGGGCAATCTTGTTCTTAACAATTTCTTTTAGCAATATCGTGCACAGGTGATCAATTATTGCGCTCATTTGTGCATTGCGCAAATGTGATTTTGTCATCCTGTATGAATTAAATTTTAGAATAATTACATAAATATGGCGTTTTGGAGACTAATTTGCAAAGTCATGGAGTCAAAGTCAACATATTTTATAATCATGAATTTTTCTGAAAGTCTGAAATAGATATAAGAAATAAAATTAATTTGCTCAAACTACACTTAATATTTTCAAGTACCACTTTTGTGCATGTAAGTATCATTCTTGTGCACGCATGTAGCATTTTTGTGCAAACTAAGTCATCAAAATAGTCTGCAAAAAAAGTAGTACTTCGGTACACAAGAGTGGTACCTACATGCACAAACGTGGTACTTCTGTACACAAGAGTGTTACTTACATGCATAAAAGTAGACCAGTCAACAGATCAGATTCGAATCGGATCATGGTCGATCCGATCCTAATCCGATAAGCAAAATGAGTGATCCGATCCGATAATCCGACAGATTCTTACTTTGTCAATCCGTATCTGATACTCACCTTATCAGATGTCCAATCCGATAAATCCAATCCGAATAGAAGTTATTCCCTTTTGCAATTTATACAAGCACAAATCAAGCACACACAAAATCAAGCAGCAAATTGATTCAAATAATTATCTCGCTATTAGAAATTAAACACCAAATCTTAGCATGATATGATTTCTGCTATTGCAAATATGGTTAGTAAAGGTAAAACAAAGGAGATCAAAACTACGGTAAAAAAAATGAGAGAGATTGAGATAGGTCATGTAACAAAGAACCAAAGTCTCCATAAACTAGAAAAAGAAGGGAGAAGAAAATAAGAAAAATCTGAGATAGCTTTTGCTTTGAAAGATAAAAAATTAGGGCTTGTAAAGTTGTAATAGTGAAAAGAAAAGGAAAAATAGAAGACAAAGGAGAGAACAAATAATACTCCATAAGAAACAAGGTTCAGTAGTTGATCGTTGGCTTTCCCCTTCCCCATCGTGCCATCACATATAATTTTCCTTCACCTTCGTCTCTCTCTGGAAGCATGATTTACTTACAGTGCTCATAGAGTTCCCTTCTTACGTCTTTAATTGGGTGATAGGTACAAGGGGGAGTAATAATATGTGGATTAGAACACCTTGGTATTGTAAATATAATATTGTGATTAGATTTTTTGATCTCATGATTTACATTTATATAAACTTGATTTGATTGTTGATATAAAATATATATATATATATATATATATATTATTTTAATTGGATGAGGTTATTAATGGATCGGATTAACTCAAATCCATGCCCAATTTGTTAAGTTAACGGATTATTGGATTCGGATCATAATCGGATTAAGTTATCGGATTCGGATCAAAACCCGATCCATTGACAGGTCTACATAAAAGTGATACCTCTGTGAACAAGAATAATATCTCTAATCACAAGAGTGGTACTTAAATTTATAAAAGTGGTATTTGAAAATACTAAGGGTAGTTTGGGTAAATGATCAATGTTCTATGTTTACCTCCGACTTTCAGAAAAGTCCATCACTTTGAAAAACGTTAACTCTAACTACATGACTTTGTAAATTAGCCTCCAAAACTCTGTGTTTTCATAATTATCCCTTAAATTTAACCCATTGAATCTCTAAAGTAGGAAAGTACCAAATGTGATGTTCCACATTATTTGGGAGGAGAAGTTCATGACGCTACTAGGAGTATGCCTCATACCTATATAAACGCATTTGAAAATCATGAGCACTTGTGTAAGACAAAGTAAACAGTATCTACATAACTTGAGTACATGTCTTGACAAATGGTGTCAAAGTCGATCCCTGGTCGAAACTAGGACAAGTTCGATGGATGTCATGAGAGCCAATCCCCTGAGGGAAAGTCTTAATAGATGTTATAAGAGTTAATTCATTCCCACAAAAAATAGGGGGAGCATGAACAAAACCATGACAAGTCTTAATAAATGTTATTAGAGTCAATCTCCCTCTTGTTAAAAATATAAGAACGTGCACAAGCCAATGATCGTAGGGCTAGAGATTCAGGAGTGTCTATATTTGAAAAGAGTGCATGTCCTCTATTTTTACACGCTAGAGTTTCAAGTAACCTAGCCTTTGTTTTACTTGCATACAACATATATTTGACTAGTATTCATTTCACAGCTAATACATAGATGTAGAAACTGACCCTAAATTTTTTTTATTTACAAAATTATAGACAAATTTTGTGAAAATTTAAAAATATCCCAACTTTTTTTTGTGAAAATCTTTAAAATGCCCCCACTTAATTTTTAAAGATACCCCACTTTATATTATTGTTGTTCAAGGCTGCCTCCCTCATACAATTCTCTAAGTCCGTCACTATATAGGTGGACTTATTTCAGCGTGCTCAAGTTTCAGTATTGACTAATTTGACTTATCAATGTTTTTTCAATTTCTTAATTAACTTTAAAAATATGATACAATAATAAGAAATTGAAAAAGATTGAGAGTGATAAGTGGAGAGGGAAGAACCAGATTAAAGAAAAAGTTAATGTCAATAGGATAGTTTTTGTGTTGGTTCTTATTTTTAAGAAACATCTGGACTAATTTCAATGGGATGGCTCGGAGGACGAGGTGCTTTGAAATCAAACAAAAAAATAGACTTGTGCTAAAAAATAATAATAATAATTTTAAAAATTGACATTTTTTTTATATTTTATTTTATCTATTTATTCTGAAGTAGCCAAACAAGCAAGGTTTACAAGGTCTCCATTAATGCTTTCAAACAATTGGGTTAATTGCACAAAATCTTTTTGAAGCATAAAAAACTTTATGAAATTAACTCCTTATGTAGCTTTTCCTACTCTACGGTCAATTATTTGTCATTAATGGGGTTTTAGGGCTCTCCTAAGAATCGTCCTTGTGTAAGTATTCCTATTTGTTGGAATAGAGAGTGTCAAATGACTCAAACCACAATTACAATAATAATAATAAATAAAATAAAATAAAATAAAAAGACAGAAAACATGAAACTATGCATCACACAACATAATATATATATATATATATTATGGAGGGAAAAATCTCCCTCCAATGAGAATAATCAATGTCATCATAAATATTTGATGAGTTTATGAAGCCCACCTCGCTCAAACCCATATTGAGTTTGAGACTAGTCCAATATCACTATTCACAAGCCCAATACTATTGTTATTTGACCTTCAGCCCTGTTGAAGCCCGAATCAATAGATTATCAGCCCAACATGTTAACATTAAACATCCGGCCCATTATTCAAGCCCAACTGGTTCAAGGTATATTCATCCCAGTTTTCCAAGATTGAACAAATCCTATCGGTAGAAGGATTTATCATAAAAGGAGAATTCTTTTATAGGAAGTTCTATACAAGGCAAGTTCTGCATAGGACATATTATACAATAGAAAGAACTCTATTTGTAAAGAAAGTCATGTATGGGAAGAATTGGAGGACAAGCAACGCGAGTCCTACCTTAATTCTACTAATTTTTGTGTATAAATAGAGGCCCAGACCTCCAATAAAAGCATCCAAGCAATTCTACGCTTCTCTATACATTGTTTTTATTTATTTTTATTGTTTTTGAGTATGTTGTATTATTTTTCTCAATCGTTATTGGTTAAGTGAAATTTTGCACCTACACATTGGCTCCGTCTGTGGGAATCGTGTGCAAATATATTCCCACTTTTGTTTTAAGTGAATCCTGCAACTACCATCTGGAATGTCGAACGGATAATCTTCAATAGATCAACAAACAGAGTTGATGCAGAAGATGCGTGAAGAGTTTCTACACCAGTTTGACATACTTCGTCAAGCAAACGAAGCTAACATGGCTCAGATCGCCTTGCTTCAACAGCAGAATGACACTCTGCAAACGACGATGGCTCAGTTGGCACCACCGCCACCACCAGGTGATACAGCAGCACCCCCTAATCAGAATATTCCTCCAGTTAACGGGCTCTCACCTAATGGGGCACGACCCAACGAGGCCCAGCCAAACGAGGTTTAGCAACAGTAGAGGGCAAGGTCCAAGGCTGTCGCTTCAGACAATATCCCTCGTCGTACGCAGGACGAGCAAGTCAAGTCTAGCCATAAGCTCATGGTGTGGTCCAATGGAATTCCAGATGGTGCAGGTGTTCAGGATGCCTTTAATGAGAAAAGACTCCTGAAGATTCAGACACACGCTGAGATGGCCAAAGAGCACAAAAACTCCCTGGTGAAAACTCTTTTCACCGACGATGTGTATATGGTTGAAAGGCCCAAGAAATTTACCATGTCTTCTTTTACTCAATTTGACGGTACGGGAGATCCTTCTTGGCACCTGGATCATTACGCCCAAAAGATGGCTTTGGATGACCGTAATGACCCTCGGATGTGTAGAGTTTTTCCTACCAGTTTGACAGGAGCAGCACTAGAGTGCTTCAGGAATAGGCCACATAAGTCCATCCTGAATTACGTAACTCTTTGCACCATGTTCCTATCACAATACTACAAAAATAAGAAGCAAAAGAAGAGTATTGCTAGCCTCTTCACCGTAAGGCAAAAGAAAGGGGAAACGCTGCAGGATTTCTTATCTAGATTCAACATGGAAGCCTCGGAAATAGCAGACTGTCATCCCGTGACTGCTATAGAAACATTTAAACTTGCAATAATTCAGTGGACGAAGTTTCATACTTCCTTGGTCAAATATTCTCCTCCCGACATGCAGACTCTCAATGCCAGGGCCCAGATTTACATCCGACTCGAGGAAAATGTAGCCCACCGAGCGCAGCACACCACCCTCGTGACAGTGGAGAACAAGCCTCAAAAGAGAATTCCAAATTCAAAAATTCAGAAAAGCCAATGCGCTTCATCGCCGATCACCCAGGCACCTGAGAAGAGGCAAAGGATAGAGGAAGGGTTTACACCTCTCCGAACTACCTTGGCTCGGCTCTTCCAAGAGAATAAGATGAGGTTCACAGCCCCGCAGCCAATGAAGCAACCCTTGGAGCAGAGGGAAAAAAGCAAGCATTACGCTTATCATCGAGAGTATGGGCATTCAACCAATTATTACAGATCCCTTAGGCGACAAGTGGAAAATATGATAGCCAGAGGTGAGTTGGCAGATTACCTCATGACGAAGGAGTATATGAAGCCCCGCGAGGTCTATCCTCGCAAGGTAGAAGGTACTCAAGTAAAGGTCATTCATGCAATACATGGCAGATCTGAAGATGATCAAGAGTCCGAGGAGGTATACAGATCGAGATTAAGGGCAGCCCATAAGCTCAGGAAGATATCCTCCGTCAATGTTATCGCTTCGGGTAGCATCAGTATTGGATTCGGCGATGACGACCTATCCAGAGTTCAACTCCCCCACGAGGATCCGTTGGTCATCAGTCTTTTAGTGGCAAATTGCATGATCAAGAAGGTTTTGATAGACCTAGGGAGTAGCGCCAACATCATCACAAAGGCGGTCTTTGAGCAGCTAGAGATCCCGTCATCATCTATTTGACCTACCTCCAGCCCATTGATGGGGTTCGATGGCACAAGAGTAGATCCCCTTGGGGTAATAGACTTATCCGTAACTGCGGCGAAGAGGACTCTGAAGGAGAACTTTGTCTTAACAGAGATCCATCCTTCCTATAATCTCATCATGAGAAGAGGCTTGATACACCGGATGAAAGGAGTTTCGTCCACCCTTCATCAGGTGATGCGGTGCTTATCTCCGGATGGAAAAGAGGTTATTAACCTATGGGGCGATCAAGTTGCCGCGAAGGAATGCTATATGCTGACACAGGCTGGAGCAAAGAAGGTGTCTAGACAGCCTAAACTAGGCGTGACTTCCAGAAATATACTCAAATAGTAATTACAGAGCCCTCTGCCCAAGTATCTTAAGATAGAGGAGGAAGAAGAAGCTGCGAAGCCTACCGAGGAGATCCTCGAAGCCATAGAAGTTATCCTCGGCGACCCCCAGAAGGTCACTTATTTAGGTCCTTCTTCCACATCCGAAGAAAATGAAGCATTAATTGATGTCATTCGGAGCAATGCAGATACTTTTGCATGGGATCATTCGGACATGGTAGGAATCGATCATTTAGTCTCCTGCCATAGCCTGAAGGTGGATCCGGAGTTTAAACCGGTTAAGCAGAAACACCAAAGGTTTGCCCCTGAACACAATTGCATTATAGCTGAAGAAGTGAACAAGTTGTTGTAAGCAGGTTTCATTCGAGAGGTGCAATATCTACAATGGCTGTCAAACGTGGTGATCGTACAAAAGAAGAATGGAAAGTGGAGGGTTTGTATAGACTATACCAACCTTAACAAAACATGCCCTAAAGATAGCTTCCCTCTGCCAAAGATAGATCAGATGGTTGATGCTACTATTGGCTACGAGAGGCTAACATTCCTCGATGCTTCCTCAGGATACAATCAGATTCCTATGAATCCAGAAAATGAAGAGAAAACTACTTTCATTACAGAAAAGGGGACTTATTGTTACAGGGTCATGCCTTTCGGGCTGAAGAATGCCCGGGCCACTTATCAATGGCTTGTTAACAAGATCTTCGACAATTTGTTAGGGAAGATGGTTGAAACATACATAGATGACATGGTGGTCAAAAGTGTGAAGAAAGAAGACCATCCGAAGCACCTCCAGGAAGTTTTCAATACTCTAAAGAAGTACAACATGAAGTTGAATCCTTCCAAGTGCTCCTTTGCAGTATCATCTGGTCAATTCCTCGGCCATATAGTGAATAAAAGAGGGATAGAGGTAAGCCCAGCTCAGGCTAAGGCCCTCATGTAGAATCAGGAACCAAAAAATCGTAGGGAGGTGCAAGTTCTTACCGTTCGGATCGCAGCTCTCAGCTGGTTTATATCCCGATTATCAGATAAGTGCAAACCATTCTTCGATGCCATAAGATCTAAGAATAAGGATATATGGGGACCTCAACAGCAGGTGGCCCTCAATCAGTTGAAACGTTATATGGCCGAACCTCCAATTATATCCGCTCCAAAACCCAGATAAGTTCTTATTATGTACGTAGCAATTTCTAGCATAGCAACAAGTGCTGTGTTAATTAGAGAAGAAGGAAAGAATCAACATTCAGTCTTCTACACAGGTAAGACAATGACAGATGCGGAGACTGATAAACGCCGAATATTGCATATTCAAGCGCCCTTAATTGCATTTTTTAAGTCCATTGTTTGTTTAATTATGTAGAGTACCTTCATATGCACGTTTTTGCATATTTTCAGGTTCATTGGCCAAAAAGAAGCAAGAAGGATGCTTTGTGGAGTTTTGAACATCAAAGGTCACAATGCTGAATTTCTGGCAGCAGTGGAATCTGGACTTTGCTCGCCATTTTGACCTTGAAAACTCGAGATCTGGACTTCCATTATAAAATGGCATATTTAGAGCTCTGAATTAGCTTTCTAAATCTTCAAACTTTTTGTTATTCAGAGCTCGGACCAGAGAGTTATGGCCTTGTTACCAGAGGTGCGCAGAACTGCCTGGCAGCAATGAAATTCTGCCTTGATCTTCATTTTCGACCAACCATCCTTGAGAATTGGATCTCCACCAAAACATGAAGTTTTTAGAAATCTGAATCAGCTTTCCAAATCTTCAAACGGTTCATCATTCGGAGTTTGGAACACAAAGTTATGACCATTTTACCAAAGTAGGTACGGGCGGAGCAAACCAAGCATAGGGCATTCTGCCCAATTTTTGAGTGCTCGAGGCCCTATTTCGAGCACTCGAAATTAGGGCAGAATTCTACACGACTCAGCCCACTTGTGCTCAGATTTTACCTACTTTGGAAGCTCTCCTTTATGAGTTGGTTGGGGATGTTTTTTGGAGGAGAGAGAGGGCTTTTTGGGTGGATTTCTTATCTAGATAAAGAGGGGAGAGCCACACATTTTTAAAAAAAGCTTCATTCTACAAGATTAGAGGAGAGAGAAGAGAGCAAGAAAGGTGTGTTCTTGGAGCTAGAAGAGGGGAGCTCGAAAATGGAGGTCAAGGCTTTGCTTCCTCCTTCCTCTAGTGCATCAATGGGTAACTAAACCTCCATCTAGGGAGGTGATGAAGCCTCCTTTGTAAGCATGCTATAATCTTGTTTTAATTTGGGGAATGAAGTGTATTTGTGATCTTTTCATATTCTAGAGACTTACACATGTTGTAAATGTTCTTCAATTCAATAAATGATTGTGTTAAATGTATCATCTTGTCTTAGATTGTATGTTTTCATGATTATAGGGCTTATATCTTCATAGTGAGAATGGAGATGAGAATATGAAATGGTTTTCTTGGCATGTCTTGTGAAGGTTTTGATAGTCCATTCCTAGGAACGATGAACCATACTACACCCCTAGTTTAATGTAGTTAGGTAGATGGTTCATACCAACCGTGGATGGATTATACTTAGTCTTTGATTACATGTGCATTTACCATACAAAGTAAGGGATTTGATAGGCCATTCCTAGGGGATTATACTTAGATGGTTTATACTTAGCTCTGATTGTATGAACTTCTTGAAGATAGTGTAGTTATCATGCATCTCTATATATCATGGTCATTTACATAAGTAGTTCCCCAAGTTAATTGCAAGCTAGCATGTTTATGAGGTGTGTGGTGGATTCATTTCCCTAGTCCTCTCCACCTAAGTTTCACTCCTTTTAATCTCCTTCAATTTATCATTTTATGCATTCTGAATTCGTAGTTTCAGTGACAAACAAACAAACCCTTATTACCCCTTATCATTCTCAGAACGATTCTAGATACTTAGGTCGCCATAGACTAGTGCAGTCCCAGTGGTTCGACTTACCCGACCAATAGCCCTATTTTACAATGATTCGTGCTATTGCGAAGGTTGATGTTTAATTGACCAACCGATCAATTTTTGGCGCCGTTGCCGGGGACTGCAAACGGTTTAGCGACCAAAGTTCTAGGGTTAATTTTAGTTTGATTGTGAATATCGTGTTTTGTGAATATTCCTTGTGTGTTTTTATCGTCTTTGTGTTGTAAGATTCTAGGAACTCAAAGCTCGCCGTGGGAATGCTAGCAAATTATAAGTCTAGAGGACCCCAAGTAAGTCTCTTGACTTCTAGTTTCAAAATTGTGAATATCTTGCATGTGTTTAACTTAGTGTTATTTAGCTTGTGAAGCCCTTGTTGAGGCTATTTTTGTTTTACTATATTGCAAAGCATCGGTCCTTGTCGTGGCCATTTATTTCCTATCTTGTTGATAATTGAGGAGAAAGGGATCATTGTATGTGGAGTTGATGATAAAGAATTGTTGTGTTGATTATGTTGTGTGTTGTTGATGTTTAAGTCCTAGATGGAGGGTAGTTATCTCCCAACTCAATTCTACACACCACATACGTTTTGTGCTTTTTGCTCTAGTAATTCACATCATACAAGAGATTGTCTTCCGACGAGACAATTCTTAGATTTTTATCTAGAGCAACCAAATGAAAATTTCTTTGAACCGGGTAGTGATCCATACTTCAATGGTTACAACTCGGGTTGGGGAGATCAACAAAACTTCTTGTGGCATGACATAGGAAATTCAACCCCACAATCTCATATGCAACCTTTTCAACCCAATGATCATTCTTTCCCGCCCTCTTCTCCTTTTCCACCATCTCCATTGGATGAGCTAATTGTTGCTAACAAACAAATGATAGAGTCTATGCACACGCAAATGATGGACTCCAACAACCAACTATTGGCTTCCCTTGCTAGCATGCAATCCACAGTAGAGTTTATCAATCAAGTGGTACCATATCACCAGTCCCAAGTTAGTGCAATGATAGATGACCAAATATCTCAAATTCAACAAAGGATTAATGCTAAAAATCATGAAAAGGAGGAAACATTTTCATTTGAATTTATGGCCAATCCAAAAGAAAATTCTATGAATGATGAGATTACTCCTAGTAACTTTCATCATGAGAATGATCAAGTGGTTATTACATGTGAAAATGATGAAATGGTGGTTGAAGATCAAATTGTTGCCCCACATCAAAATGAAGCAAATGTGGCTCAAAATGGGAAAAATAATGATGTAGAGATTGTCTACCCTACTCCAAAACAGCCCCTACATAATCCTTTGCTTGATGCACCTCCTTCAATGGAGGATCCTCTAAAAGCTTGTTTGGCTCATTTCAATTGTGAGGATTTTAATGTTGACAATTCCATTTCGGAGGTGAATTCTTTGCTTAATATTCATCCACCTATTCATTCTCTTCCTTGGTCAACATCAAATGTATCTATTTCTTAGGAGCTTGCATCTCATCCCATTCCCTCACTTGAGTTGTCTCAAGTTATTAAGCCCGAACCGCCGGATAAGTGTGAGAAGGATGTTGAAATTTTGATGGATAAGTTGTCGAGCATTCCCGTGCTCAATATGACCCTTCAAAAGCCTTTGCTAGGTGCACTCTCACCTACTCCATCTTCCTATAATCCAAATCAGCCCCATAGTCCAAAGTTCTTCATTGAGGATGAAGAGTGGATTAA